GCCAGGCTGGTCTCTAACTCTTGACGTTGGGTAATCCACCCACCTCGGCCTCCCAAAGTGCTGGGATTATAGGCTTGAGCCACTCACTGTGCCTGGCCAGTGAATAATTAAAAGATGGTAAGACCTTTTCTTTTTAGGGTAGTTGCAAAACATCTATTCTTGGTAACTGTGTTAATTCATGTAATTGTTTTGGAGACATATATCTATATAACTATATAAGATATCTTTTATTCTGTTAATCACTATCTAGGGAAATTGCCCTTTAAAAGTCTAAAGAGGAAAAAGCTATCAGTAAAAATTGAGTAGTTGTGATAGAGACTGTGTCAGTCTGCAGAGGTGAAAATATTTACCATCAGGCTTGTTAAGAAAAATGTTGCTTATCCTTCCTTCACAGGAAAGCAGTCTGGGGCTGGTCTGATGATTCCTTGATCTTTGGCCCGAGGTTCTTCCAGCCTCAGCTTCTTTCTTATGTTCCATAACTGTTGCTTTATGCACATCTTCACTGTAGCCAGCAATAGGAGGAAATGGGAAAAGGGTATGCCCTCCTAGTTTTGAGGAAATTTCTTTGAGGCTGTACACACAAGCTCTATTTAATATTCTGGTACCTTGCCTGCAGGGGAGGCAGAAATGGAGTCATTGGAGTGGGTAGGTATGCATTGAAAACCTGAGGAAGATGGGGAGAATGGAAAATGGGGTTCATTTGCAGGCTGTACCACTTGTCTGAGTTGTTGGAGACACCTGACCAGTAAACTTGAAGTACCTTGTCGGTATTAGTTGTTAAGTGTGAGATGTCTTTAGGACCATACCTGTTGGGGCCAGTTGCAGTGGCTTACACCTGTAATCCTGGCAATTTGGGAGGCCAAGGTGTGAGGATCAGTTGAGGCCAAGAGTTCTATTCCAGCCTGAGCAACAAAGCAAGACCCCTTTCTATATATATTAAAAAACAAAACAAAACCTGTATGTGTTGAGAATGCAGTAAAGAGGTAGTGTAGGTAAGCCTGGAAAAGTGGAGGGGATTTTACAGAAAGGGGTATCTTTTTTTATTTTATTAAGCCAGTCAAATGTAGCAGTGGGTCGGGTGGGGGGGTGTTGCAGTGAGCTGAGATTGTGCCACTGCACTCCAGCCTGGTGTCAGAGTGAGACTCCATCTCAAAGGAAAAGCAAAAAACCAACAAGGAAAAATTATAGGAACTCTGCAGCGTAGTGTGTCAAATGGAGAAAAGAGGTGAATCATGTCTGCTCTTCACATGAATATAGAATCTTATTAGAAAAATAAAGTACACGGAGAAAGTGATGGGTCCAGTGTATAAGAAATCACTCGTGATAGGGCAGATAAGAGTATCAGAAGGGAGGATCACTGCAGTTATGTGAATTCTTCCTGAACTTCCCCTTCCCATCTCCTAATTTCCCATCCTACAGAATTCTTCATCATTCATCTCTGAATTTCACTTCTTCCCTCCAGACACTTCTACTTTTTACACATATGAGGCTATATTATGTTTGCTTAATACATTTAATATATTATTAATAATAACAGACATACATTTTATATGTATATTACATGTGTAGGCTATGTTATTACTTGTATAATGCATTAGCTTATATTTAAAGTGTGCTTCACCAATTAAAATGCTAAATGTATACTTGTCTAAGGCTGTATTATTGTTTGTATAATGTATTAGTTTGTATTGAAAGTGTTTCATCCATTAGAATACTATAAATTCCTTAAAATGCAAATTAATGTTTTAAATCTTGACAACTTTTGCACACTGAACATCATGTATTAAAAAGTATAATATGAATTAAATAGGAGGTTTTGAGGACTTGGTAAACTTAGGCAATCAGGGAGAGAGGTCATTTCAGGAATGAGGTAATGGTTTGACTAATGTATAAAAGTGGGAGGGAGTGTGGGAACTAAGACATCTTCTACAGAGGTGTGTGTTAAATAGCATCTGGATAAGGTGAACAGAATCAACCAAAGTAGAGTTTATCAAATGCAGTTCTCAGTTAATCACAGTAGGATGAAGGGATTGAGATATCTCTTTTCCTCCCTTTTATTTATTTCCCTAAATCTAAGGCACCATATGACTAGGACATGACTTTTTGTTTGTCTGATATGTGTCAAACCAAAAGGGAAGACAACGTATTTAGATATAAATTCTTAACTGCACCATCAAACCACGCTGGACTTTCTTACAATCATTTCTATGAACTGCCCATTCCCTCAATCTACAATTGAGAACAAAGAAGTCTCCAGTAGAGCAGGATATCAATTATTTGTTAACATTTGATCCACGAGACTGGATAGTCTCTTAGTCAGTTCAGGCTGCCATAACAAATTACCATAGACTGGGTGGCTTAAACGACAGAAACATATTTGTCACAGTTCTAGGTTTGGATGTCCAAGATTTGGTTGCCAACAAGACCCAGCAGATGGCTGGGTCCTTGCTGCATACTCACATGGCCGAGAGCAAAGAGAGAAGCAGCAACCTCTCTTGTTTCTTTGCTTATAAGGCACTAATTCAATCATAAGTGCTGTACTCTCATGATTTAATTACCCCCCAGAGTTCTGACTTTCAAATTGCATCACATTCATGATTATAGTTTCAACATAAATTTGATGCTGGGGTTGGGAGGGGAAGGCGGTGCAAACATTTCAGTCAATAGCAATCGCAAATGTCTTTCCCAGAAATGAGACATTGAGAATGAGAGAAAGTTACTCTGC